TACCCCCGAGGAGCGGCCGGCCCGAGGGGCGGCCTGCTTGCCAGACAGGTCTGACGGCCAGCTCGGAACCGGCTTTGCCATCATCCCCTACCCGCTTGGCCCTGGGGTGCAGACCCTCAGCTAGCCGAGAGGGTTGGCATCCTCTTGACTTGGGAAGTGCCAAGAGAAGCCAGGTGATGTGGCCTGGAGGAAGCTGGCGGCCAGGTGTGGACACAGCACAGGAGAGTGGCCAAGCCTGGCCCCATCTCCACCGAAGCAGACCTGGTTTCCCTCTTACCTATACTGCGCCTCCACGTAAGATCTGATTTTTTGTAAAAGGATTCTGTGGATTTCTTAAAAAGTTTGAAAACCGCTGGTCTAGCAGTTTTGGGGGTTTTTTTTAGCAGCAAGGAAACTGAGGCCTAGGGAGAGAAAGTGACTTGAGTAAGATCACACAACAAATAGTAGATGAGCAGGGACTGGGAATCATTTTGGGGGAGCCTCCCAGTGCTTGTAACAGGACTTGGCTTGGTGTTCCTTTGCTGGAGAGCGAGACTGATCCTGTGTCCGAGTGGCTCTCCGGTGGCTTGCTCTGTGGCTGTGTCAAGCCAGACCCCCAGGGCCTGGGAAACAGCCATCCTATCTAGGCATAGGCGCGATTTGGGTGCTCCAGAGTGTGTTGGGAGGTTCTGGAGCTGGAGAAAAGGGTTTTGCCAAAGAGCCCAGTCGGTCAGAGCACCCAGGGTTCTCTCTGGCCACAGCCTGGAGCTGAGTCCCATGTGAACAGAGAAATACAGCAAGCCTTTGGGGCAAACTGGGACTCAGAGGGTGAGTCAGAGTCTGGGATGGGGGTGGGGAGAACCCCATTCATTCATTGTTCTCAGTTTTTACTCTTTTGGGGGGGAGTCTTCCCTTTGGTCCCATGCTGAGGCAGAGCTGTCTGGGGGATTTTGGGTTTGGGAAGCCCTAGCCACCTCTCACCATGACTGGGACATTGGGCAGAGGGAGGCCGGCCCTCTTTTTTGGAGGATGGTTCGTTGTGCCTGAAGCCTGCTTTCTTTCTGGGTGCTGCAAGGTAATTAAATAGTTGGTTAATCACTTTTAACACCAGCCAGCTGCGGCTTCATCCACAGAGTACTAGACCCAGATGATCCATGCCTTGACTTGGGGGCTCCAGCAGAACTCGCAGCACTGTGGTGGTGGTAATGGTGGGGTACCATGAGATCTGGACCCAAGAAGTAGCTGTTGTGGTTGCAAGAGAAGGAGAAGAGGTCCTGTTCCTATAGGCTGGGGTCCCTTCACCCCCTAGGGCTAAGGGCATCTGGCTGCCCAACCATTGCTCAAGCTGGCTTTCTGGAACCAGTCACCCAAGGCATCATGGGGCTGTCGCTCCCAGGCCTGCCTTGAAGCCCTGTGGACCCTGCCCATCAGAAGTATGGAAGAGCCATATTGTAGATGTCTCCCGCCATCAGCTGTCAGGTTATTTTGGTCGAAACTGAAAATATTCTAGGAATTGTATGTGGAGCCCCCAGCCTGCAGGGTGGGACTGCAGCAGCCAGGGAAGCTGACTGGTGGCTGAGGCAGCCCTTGGAGAGAAGCAAGGGGTTGCCCTTGGCAAGGCTGTGTGTCCAGCTCCCAGAGCCTGTGTGAACTGGAGTGGCTTTATTTTGCCATCCAGCAAAGAGGGGCCTTGGCCATGGGCGTGGTAGGGGCATCGGGGCCCTGTAAGCACTGTTCAGGGAGCTTGACACTGAGACACCTCCAGCAGCACAGCTGGGACCTCTCCCAGTTTCCCCCACTCTCAGGGACTTGGCTTCTGACTAGTCAGGGGCCTTATGTGGGGACAGTTATGTGGCCCCAGGCAGAGAGGTCCCTGCTGTCTGTTTGCTGAAGGAGGAAAAACAACACGCGGACTATTGATTCAGCCTCACCTTGGCGCTCCTGGCTCAGCAGCCAATGTTTGCCCTGGCTGCCCAGGCTCTGATTACGCAAGCTGGTGGGCGTGGAGGGAGCTAGGGGTGGCTGGGGGCCCCCCAGGCCCAGGCAGGGCAGGGCTGGGTGGCTCTGACGTTCCCCAGGAAATGGTAAAAGGAGGCTGGGCCCCCCAGCCTGTGCTGACGGCCTCCGTCTCAGCCACAGAGGGATATGAAGCCTCTGTGTTCCCCCAGACTCAGAGCATGGTTCCCAAAGCCCCATCCCAACTCGGGTGGGTCATACATTCCTTCCTCCTAGGGACCATGGGGCCTCGCAAATAACTCCCCATGGCTGAATCTGCTTTGCTGACCTGGAGACCCTAGTGAGTCATATAGACACCCTTCATTTTAAAAATGTTAAGAAGCCAACATTTTATTCCTATGTAAAATACACCTAGATAATTTGGAGAATATATAGTGACAAAGAAGAAAGTAACAATGACTCGTAATTCTCACCGTCTTGAGAAAACCACTGTTAACATTTTAGCGTGTGTCCTTCCAGATTTTGTTTTGTATTATGTATAAATATACGTGTATAAATAGTTCTTTAAAACAAAATGGGACTATGTGTACATACTGCCTTATAATGCATCTTTTTTACTTTTATCATGGTGAATATCCATTTGTTTGGGATTTTGAGTGACTCAAACCTTAATACTCTCATCCCACTTCTTGTGTTACACTTGTATTCTAAGATGGAGAAAGGATTGGGGGGCATGTGGGAGGTCCATCTGTCCATCCCTCTGGCTGACCTTGGGGGCTGGATTTCATCTGCGGAGGACTTGTATTTTTACAAACCTTCTCCCCTCGATCTGGTTTAGGCCTGGACTGAGCCGTGGGTTGGCAAGGGCAGCTTCTGACTCCCTCCCCTCTTTCTCCTTGTTCCTCAGAGCTGGCAACCCTCGCCCTCCCGAGCCCTGCCCGTCTCGGCCCCATGCCCCCGCCAATCAGTCCCCGGCCACAGGCAGTGAGCAGGCAAGTGGGAGCCGAGGCCCTGTGACCAGGCCAAGGAGACGGGAGCTCTGGGGTCCCAGCTGCCTGCCCCCCCATGGAGCTGAGGCCCTGGTTGCTATGGGTGGTAGCAGCAGCAGGAGCCTTGGTCCTGCTGGCCGCTGATGCCCGGAGCCAGAAGGTCTTCACCAACACGTGGGCCGTGCGCATCCCTGGGGGCCCAGCAGTGGCTGACAGTGTGGCACAAAAGCATGGGTTCCTCAACCTGGGCCAGGTAGGTGTTCTTAGCTGGCCCGCTGGCCTAGGCACAGGATGCTGCCAGGGGTGGGGCCAGAGGGGACACGGATCTGGCACCAAGGAGTATGAGCTGTCGAGTTTGCTTGCTGGGGGCAGCAGGCGTTCTGGTGGCCACTGGGTTGGGAGCAGTAGCTTGTCCTGCCTGTGGGTGTTTAGCAGAGGTCACCCAGATGACCAGCGTGTCCCAGGGAGGGTGAGCCCTTGCGGTCCCCTGCGTGTTCTTGCTGGGTCCCAGGCAGGGAGAAGATGCCCCACACCCCTGTGGTTGTGAGCCTCCCGTGCAGCCGTTGTCCACCCCCGTCCCCCGCCTCCCTGCAGCTGACAGATGGGAAGCCCAGCTCTGTCTCCCTGCTCTGTTGCAGATCTTTGGTGACTATTACCACTTCTGGCATCGGGGAGTGACGAAGCGGTCCCTGTCGCCTCACCACCCGCGGCACAGCCGGCTGCAGAGGGAGCCTCAAGTGAGTGTGGCCCTGGCCCCCCTGCTGCCACCCTCCCTCTCCTGCTCTCAGGAGCCCCTCTTGCCCCTTCCCCACACATCACCCCTCCTTCCCCTCACTCCCTCACAGGTACAGTGGTTGGAGCAGCAGGTGGCAAAGCGGCGGACCAAGCGGGACGTGTACCAGGAGCCCACAGACCCCAAGTTTCCCCAGCAGTGGTACCTGGTACGCTGCCTCCTCACCCTCTGGGTCCTCCTTTCAGTGGCACCCATCCACCCACCGCAGTCTCCTATGGGGAGATGGGCCTGACTTTGAGGCCTCTGATTCTTCCTTCTGCTGGACAGCCTCTCCCTTGTCCCTCCTCCTGAGCCTGAGGGTGGCACTCCCAGCGTTGCTTATAGTTTCGTGGATCCCAGACAACCAGTGGTGGCATTTCGGGAGCAAGCATGGTAGAGGAGGCGGTTTTGGAGCGGTGAGGGGTTCTCCAGGATACCCCTGACCTCACGCAGCCACCCACGGCTCGTAAGTGATGGAAGTGGGTGTCTCTGCAGTCTGGCGTCACACAGCGGGACCTGAATGTGAAGGAGGCCTGGGCTCAGGGCTACACGGGGAACGGCATTGTAGTGTCCATTCTGGATGACGGCATTGAGAAGAACCACCCGGACTTGGCAGGCAATTATGTGAGGAAGTGGAGGGGGCGGGGGGAGGCAGTGATCCTGGTGAGGGATGTCTGGGGCCCATCCTGCTCTGCCAGCGGGGTTAGGCAGCTCTTGACGGGCACGTCCCTTCCAGGATCCTGGGGCCAGCTTCGATGTCAACGACCAGGACCCTGACCCCCAGCCTCGCTACACGCAGATGAATGACAACAGGTAAGAAAGGGCAGGGCCCCCTTCCGCCACGAGGAGCAGGGCTGAGCCTGGGCCCGCATGCCTGGCCCACGAGGCCGAAGGCTTTTCCGCGGTCCTGGCCCAGCCAGGGCTCTGAGGGACAGTCTGGTCAGAGTGGAGATGGCCCCGGCCCGGTGGGATAGGGACGGAGAGTGGCTCTGTGCCCGTGGAACGGTGGTCGTGGGTGGAGGGGCGCACAGACCCCTCCTGCTCCTCAGGCCGTGTCTGTCATGTCTGCCACGTCTGCCGCACCCTGTCCGCCCTACTTACGCTGTGCTTTTGGCCCTGGCAGGCATGGCACACGGTGTGCGGGCGAAGTGGCCGCTGTAGCCAACAACGGTGTCTGTGGTGTAGGTGTGGCCTACAATGCCCGCATTGGAGGTGGGTGTGGGCCTGGACTGCGCTGTCTTCGAGAGGGTCCTTCAGTGGGATGTTTCTCTGTCCAAGATGAGTGGGATTCCCATCCGTCCGGCGTCTGTCCCTTTCACACTCTGGATCCTTTGACCATACAGATATTCCATAGCGCGTTCTTAGTAACTCAGAGAGCTGGACCCCCGTGCTCGTGGCCCTGTGGCCTTAGCAGGAACCTCCTGAAATCCTCACAACGCATCCTGGGTGGTCACACAGCAGGCCTTGCTCACCATGCTCCTTTGAGAACTGGAGACTCTACTCTAGAATATGTGACCAGGGGCAGGAAGTATCTTCCTCTTTGCCCTCTCTTGTTTTTGTTTTCTTTTTTTTTTTTTTTTTTTGAGTTGGAGTCTACTCTGTCACCCAGACTGGAGTGCAGTGACTGCTCCTGGCCACCGCAGCCCCTCGACCTGCTGGGTTCTGACGATCCTTCTGCCTCAGCCTTCCGAGTAGCTGGAACTATAGGCGTGCGCTACCACGCCCAGCTAATTTTTTTGATTTATTGTAGAGATGAGGTCTCACCAAGTTGCCCAGGCAGGTCTCCAACCCGTGGGCTCAGGCAATTCACTCACCTCAGCCTCCCAAGGCGCGGGATTATAGGCTGAGCCACCAAGCCCAGCCTGGGGTTTGTCTTTGAGAGGCAGAGGCGGATGTAGTTAGGGACTCTGGGTTTCCCGCATCAGCATCCCCTTGGGTACAGGGCTGGGCACGCTCTTGGGGGATCAGCTGGACCCATGCAGCATCCCTCTCCGTGCCCCTCTTTGTGGCCAGGGGTGCGCATGCTGGACGGCGAGGTGACAGACGCGGTGGAGGCACGCTCACTGGGCCTGAACCCCAACCACATCCACATCTACAGTGCCAGCTGGGGCCCTGAGGATGACGGCAAGACTGTGGACGGGCCAGCTCGCCTTGCCGAGGAGGCTTTCTTTCGAGGAGTTAGCCAGGTGAGGTGGGGTCTGGGCCAGGCTTTGAGGGCAGGCCAGGTGCTCTTTTTTTATAGCTCTCTTTTTTTTTTTTTTGAGTTGGAGTCTCACTCGGTCGCCCAGACTGGAGTGCAGTGGCCGCTCTCCCAGCCACCGCAGCCTCGCCTGCTGGGCTCCGGCGATCCTTCTGCCTCAGCCTTCCGAGTAGCCGGAATTACAGGCATGCGCTACCACGCCCGGCTGATTTTTTGATTTATTGTAGAGATGAGGTCTCGCTGCCCAGGCGGGTCTCGAACCCGTGGGCTCAGGCAATATACTCACCTCAGCCTCCCAAAGGCATGGGATTACAGGCTGAGCCACTGAGCCCGGCTATAGCTCTCTTTTTTGTGTTTTTCTTTTGTATTATTTATTCTTCTGTATAATTTTAATTTTACACAAAGCATGTTTGTTGAAACATTAAAGTACAAAAAAGAGTAAGGTAAATATAATCACCCATGAACCCCACCTCCTGGAGATCACCATTCTGAGCATTTTGGTGACAAGCCTGCTCTGTTTTTATTTATTTTAAAAAATTTGACGAGGCACAGTAGCTCACGCCTATAATCCTAGCACTTTGGGAGGCAGAGGTGAGAAGACTGCCTGAGCCCAGGGTTTTTTTTTTTTT